AGTCATCTATTAAGTCCCTTTCAAGCTTAAGAGCTTCATTTAGCCATGTATCAACGTAAAGTTGGCAACTTTACGTGATAATCCAGCTCAGGGAGGTCAGATCTATGTTTTGGAGCTTTGTCTAAATGGTTTAAGTGAAAAATCAAGTTTGGGCTGAGTAAGGGTGAGTACATTGGGCATACAAGTAGGTACGCTTAGCGTACAAGCCTCCAAGAGAGTACGATGCGCGTACGTGCTTGTACCCCCTACGTACTCGGTCTGATTGGGCCTTGTATGTTTAGGCTTCGATTTGGGCTATCTTTTGGGTTTGGTTGCTTAGGGATTTGTTGGGCCATCTGAGAATATGTGTTTTGGATTAGGGAAAAGTTAATGGGATTTAGGATAAGGCCCAAGTAAGGGTTTGGGTCCAATTTGGAAAATTGGGACATAAGTGGGCTTTGGAAGATTTTTGGTTTGTGGGCCTTTATGATTGTGAGTTTGGCCCTTAGTTGTTGACGCATCCCATCAGGAATACGTCATATATAACGGAACTGTCAATTTGATAAACGACATGGGCAAAAGTCGGTGTACGCCTAACGCCGTGTCCTCTCCCTCGTCCTTCATATCCCCGTGTTCGTTTCTTGGCACCCAAGCGCCAAGGCCAGCATCAAGACAAAATAGTATCATTCGTCCTCCAGATTGACAGGTGTAACGCTCAGGACACTGATCCCTTGGCAAGCCTGCACCAATAACAAACAGCCACTCACGGATCACGATCTACCAATCGGAAGCCGTCTGTCCCTGCCAGACCTGAAAAAGTAGAAGATATGGTCGGGGTTTTGTCCCCTCGATTCCAGGTATAAAAAGGTCCCTTCTCCTCCAAGAGAAGGGACCAACATTCAACATTAACCCTTTGTCTCATACTTTCTCACCCTCTCATTAGAACCTTAAACTGACTTGATCGTTAGAGCATCGCTCCGGGGCAACCTCCCGGACGACGACTGATGGTCTTGTTTTCTATGCTGTGATTCGCAGGCCCCTTTTTCCATCCCTCACGGAGCAAGAATCGAGCCGGAGACATATCACAATAGTTGGCGCCATCCGCACGTACACCCAGTATGGCACAACCCACTTCACAACACCAGGCGCTAGAAATGACGGATAAAGGACTGATACAGCAGGAAGGCGACAACAATAGCCCGGTGAGACCAATGCAGTCCCTCGATAGAAGCGATCCGTTGACACTAGAAGGACAACCGCTTACATAGGCACCAACGACGCTGCCATTCGGCTCCACGATGGAGTTCATCGCTAGCTTATGGCGACCGCTTCCCATCACAACAGAACAACCGGCCACAACTACAACTACAGTGCCTCAAAGAGGGCCGACCACCCAATCACAACAAGTAGCAAATCGACCAAAGCCATCGACGCGGCAGGTGGGGACCAGCGATTGGTCCTCCGACACCATTCTATCAGCCGCACCACTTGCAGGCCACCAGCCTTCTCCAATGGCAGCCATGTCACATATCCCATTATTCGCCCAATAACCACCATTCAACCTGTATTCATACCACTACCAAGGCGTGTACCCTCACACACAGATACAAACCCATAACAGTCAAAGTGTGCCAACACAGGGGATGAATGCACACGCTACGGGGCTAACAGAGTCGAATTCGCAACCGAATCAGCTAATGCACGCATAACCCATACAGGAACCGTATATGCCTCAAGTGAACATGTATAACCACGGGTACCATTACGAGTTCGGCCAAGGGTAAAACATCCCATACCACACGCAGCAAGTGATGGACGGCAGACCACTCAACTACCCACATATTAACAGCCCTGTAACAAGTATAAGCTCGGCATTCTGCCAAGAGCTATTACAGTACGAAATACCACATTCCACCATGATACCAAATATCCCAAAGTATGACGACATGATAGATCCTGACGAACACATAGATACCTACGAGTGGACCATGACATCCCTTCGGATGGACAAGATATTCACTTGCACCTACTTCCTGGTCACACTATCGGGAAATGCTAGCAAATGGTTCAAGGCACTACGTACGGGAAGTATCTCCAGCTTCGAACAGTTGAGATAAATTTTCCTCCACAACTTCATGCAATTGAGGAAAGTCAAAGGAGATGCCAACTCTATCATGACATGCAAGCAAAAAGAGGGAGAATCCATCTGGGCATACTATGATCGGTTTACCCTTGCGACCCTAAGCGTCCCCGGCCACGGGGAATTTCTAGTCATGGGCGCCTTCACCCAAGGGCTACTCCTAGGCCCCCCTGTCGAAAAAATGAAAGGAACAGTGCCAAAATCTAGGGACAAGCTCAAATACAGGGTCGAAAAATACCTCAAGCAGATCGAGGGACTAGAACGAAAACATGCCAATCTAAAAGTTGTAGCGAACGCATACCTAAAACAAGAATCAGCCAGCTCCCACTACCGCCATAACAATAAGGAGCGCAACGATGGAAGTCATGATAAGCACCATAGACAGACACTCATCTTGCAGATTCCGCCCTTCGTCAAGGATGAACCAAGGAGCCATAAGATGGAAGTGCACGCGGTGGAAAAAACCCCTCAACGGATAGAAAAAGAGAAAAACAAGTATTGCGAATATCATAAGAGCAAAACCCACGACACTGGATAGTGCATGATCCTAACAAAAGAAGTAGAAGACAAGAGACTGAGCAGAGACTTAATAGAAATTGCGAAGACTCTACAGTCAAAGTTCAAATCCGAACTAAAATACGGGAGAAACCGAAAGGAGATGAACAAACAACCAATAAAAAAGGAAGAAATCTTCACAATCACAAGCCCTGTGAACAGAGCCAAACGATGACTGCCAGCCGATGGTGCCGACGGCTTACCTAGCGATACTCTCAACATAAGTTTCTCACCAGAAGATCCACGAGCGCCCAACTAGGACCCGACAGATACAATCATAATCCCCGCCTTCATACAGGAGCATCAGATTTGGCGAGTCCTGGTCGACGGAGGTAGCAACACCGACATAGAGCACTGCCTCGAGCGACTCCTGCCATCCTGGAAGAAAAGCCTAAGACCACCAACTCGATCCCCACTCGTTGGCTTCATGGGACTCAAATTATGACCACTCGAGACCATCAACCTCCCGTTGACACTACTCAGCCACGACGGAAAGGAAAGGGTAACAAGGATAATCGAGTTCTCGATAGTTAAGAACAAATCCGAAGACGATATGATCCTAGGGCGACCTGATCTCTTCCGGCTACAAGCCATCCCATCAACAATACATGGTACAGTCAAGTTCAGAACGATAAATGGCTCAACGACAGTGACAACTCCAAACACACGAGCAAAACCACTTCGGGCGATCGCTGCCTGGGACACTGCACACATCCCAAGAAAGTGGCGCACGACGACAGCTAACACCTAAACGATTAAGCACAAAAAACGGACCATCCACACTCAAAACAAGAGGAAAGGACGCCAACCCCTAACGAATAGCCCGGGGGAAGGGCGCGATAGCAACAACACCACCACTCCAGAACCCTCAAGCATCGTCCTTATGAATACCAAACGAGGTTGGACGTCATGTATGCACGTCTCAGGGCAGCAAGGGCACATGGAATGGAAAAGAAGGGAACGAAGGAGCACACGCGCGAAGTCACGGAGCTCGACGGGAGGCACGAACAAGGAGCCGTCGGTGCCGGGGAAGAGAGGATAGGCAATCAACTCAAAAAAGAGAACGTAAACAGGAAACTCACTACAACCATACGAATCCACAGCTGGCAGAGGTTTCCCCCAAGGCGGCACCAAGTCAGTAACCTCATAGAAAACAAAGCCGCCAACAAAAAAAGTCATGCAGAAGGAGGAAAACCCACTCAAAAATGATAACCAAACGACCAAAACCGGAGAATAGAGGAAATTGAAAATCATCTTCCAAAAGACGGCCAACCCAGAAACAGCCAATCACGGCTCCCACACGAGCATGAATGTTGCAAAGCTTGCAGATTCGCCGCCGAAGGACACAAGCTAAGGAAGACCAAGAAGAAGAATTCATCCCAATTACTTGGGAGCCCCTGAGCCCAAGCCAATAGCCTTGGCTTGAGGGGAATCAAGGGAAGGGGCCAAGTGATCAAACTCCTAATGGATAATCACACCCCAAATAGTCAGCTCAAGCGCTAAATCTAGAATAGCAAAAGCTATCGGACTTCCGATACTTATCTAACAATGTAGATGCCTCTAAGGCACCAAAAAAACATGCAATGAAAAGAAAATTTGCAGCGAACGAGTATCGACACACTTTCGTACAAATGGAAAATAATAACAGACTAATTACCTGTGCCAACCAACACAAAACCAACGAGACAAAAACAATCACCGGCCTCAAAGTCTCACCACTTCCCCCTAATAAACATGTCAACAAGATTAGGAGAGCCGCAGATCCTGATCACCACAAATAAGAGGCCTTAAAGGATCATAACCTTTCCCTCGAAATACACAATGCCTATGCTCTTAGATCCCGAGGTGACGACATCGATCTTGCTTAGACGACTAAGGCCGGAGTATAACTCCCCTTGACCCAAGTCTTAGGACAAAGCCCCAAAGCGAAAGCTTTCAGCTAGGAAAGAAATCCTAAATAAATGAACCAGCCAGAGTTCGCACCTACAAACTAACTAAAGCCTCGACCAAAAAAGGATAACCATGACCGAGACCCTCAAAGGCCAACACTAACCTCTGGGGAGAATCCAAACCAAGGTTGACCAACACAAACCATCCAAGACGACAAAAAAGGGGGGAAGAAAAGCGATGAACTGAAAGCAAACTTAACATACAAAAAACACAAAGCACGTATTGTTTAACCCAAACAACCCCCAGGATTTTAAAACGACCACGCAGGGCCAAAGAAGACAACCAAACATTGTTTTAAAAAATTGTTCGACAAACACCATGAGGATGCAAATATTATCTTAAACATCAAACGGCAACAACGGGTAAAAACCATCACTTACTGGGGGGCGGAGGAAGGTCCGGCGTGAGAAGCGTCACCTTCAGAATGGCCTTCCTCGGAGTCAGGTTCATCACACATCTGACGAAGGCCCCCTATGTCTAGCTCACCCAGGCGAAGGTAGGAGGAAAAGTTTGTCTGGATGAAAGATTTTATAGCATCATGCATCGCCTGAGCATGCTCCGTAGTAGCGTCCGATTCCCAAGAGACAGACTTTCCGGCGACAACTTGCTCCTGGATCACCTGCTTGCTGTTCTCCACACCGACATACATGCATGTCATCTTCATCCGCTTCACCCCCAATGCAAATTCAGTACTCTCAACAACCTTATCCACCACCCGGATAACGCCTTTCTGAAGCAACCAACCCAAGTTCTCCTCTGCAACTTCCCTCCTCGCAACCTCCTCATCCAGCCTCTTGTGAGAACACTTTTCCTGGACCTCCAGCACCATATTCTCCTCCACCAAACCTCAATCCGCTAGAAAAGCGCTTCACTAACCCATCCAGAGTAGCCATTTGGTCCTCTAAAGAAGCCTTCTCCCTGCCAAAAGATGATAGCGCTCCTCGAATGACCGCTTTTCCCCCCTCCAACTCCAGCAACCTCACCCTCATCTCATCTCGCTTGGCCTTAACTGATGTTGGCTCGCTAGAACTGGAACTACCATGACGAAGGTGAGAGGCAGTCACCGTCATATACGAACCAACCATCGCAGCTGCGTATAAAAGGTTGTTTGAAAGATGGGAATTAGAAAGAAGCTCCAAGGCCTTGATGGTAGCAGGGGGAAAAGCATGGAAACCCCAATCATACACTTTCACATGCTGTGAAAGGAAAGACTCCCAGGTTATCCCCCATCTAGGCACATATATGGTCGGTGCTGCCGGTGGAGTAGAAGCAGAACCCCCGACAGTGTCGTCCCCAGGCAAGAGCAGGATCTTGGGGTCTGGAACACCTTCGCAAACAGGGCTTGAGTCAACACCAAGAACATCCTCACCATGAACAGAAGTATCCACCGCATCTTATTTAGGTTCACGGGGCAGTTCAGTCGCCCCTTCCCTCATCCCCTCCGACTGTTCAGAGTGTCATCATCGCGGATGTCAACCACCACTGTGGCCTCACCCAAAAGGAAGTCTACGTTCCTCCTCTTTAGCAGGCGCCGACCTGAGGAGCTAGCATCACCAGACTCCACAAGTGGCGAATCCAGCAAGGAAAGTTGCCGTTTGGAAGCCGCACAGGTGTTACGCCTAGTCAAGCCCGATCGACGTCTCCTACTCCTCCGTATCAGAAGGCAAAGGGTCCTCACAAGAAATACCACCGACAGGCGCATTAACCAACACCTGGCCAATGGGAGGATCAGACCCAGGCGAAGACACGGCAAGAGGACCGTCAAGGGCTAGGGCACGGTCAGGACTGACCGATGGAGGGAGCGTCTCAACCAAGGGCACGTCCCGATACTGACAGATGCCCTGAAAGCGACCCCTAAGCACCATCTCAAAGGGAAGGATCCTCTCGTGACCTGCAAACAAGAGACAAGACAACATAGTTCACAAAACACAAGAAAACAACGATCCAAAAAGGGGGGGAGGAGAGGCACTCACCACCTCTCTTAATGTAGAACTGAGGCATCATCCCCCGAGCCCTCCAGGCAACACTCATCCCAACTACATCCAGAGTATGATCCTCCCAGTCCTCGCCATTAACACAAATGGTCTTTAGTGCTTGCGCCACAGTGGCACTGGCCCCAAACAGTTCCGGCGCTCGATCAGAAAAAGTGATCAAGCGAGGATAACCAAAACCTACAAGATTACGATTTACCCAGAGCCACCGATATTGCCAGTTCTTCTTCAAAGCTTTTTGGTTGATGATGAAAGCATGAACACCTTGCCTTTGGGAAAAAGTCCGAACACTGGAATGAGTAGAGGAATTGAAGAAAGCTTTGAATGCCCAAAATTGTGGCAGAACTCCAAGGGTCCGGCAGACGAGTTCAAAACCAACAATCTTGTTGACAGCATTTGGAGTTAGGTCGTCCATACAAAAGCCATATTGGCGCATTATCTCATCAAAAAAGTCTGTCGTCGGCAGCCTCAGACCAGCCTCAAAGATTGGAATAGGGACCCCAACCTTCCCCTCCAGTGGGCGAGAAATTATCGTCCCCTTTTGAGGATACTCCACATCGTGCTGAGGAAGAAAACCAAATCGCTTTTTGAAGAGCAGCAAACTCGCTTGAAGAAGGAACGATTCCGGTATTCAAGTCAGCCAGGGTCTGTTGAAGAGCATGATGGGTTTTGAGCATTCTAACACTTCCTAAGTGTACATGCAACCCTAATAACCTTGAATCTATGTTTTCTCTATATACATGCAAATTTCTTTTTCAAGGTTATTTCCTAACTAGCATGGCATGGGGATTACATAAAACATAAAAACTAGTAGAAATACATACCTTGTTGTTGCTTGGATTCCTTCAAGACTTTGTGAGCCTAGCACCCCAAATGTTGTGCCTCAAATGCTTCACACAACACCACAAGACTTGGAATAACTTGAGAGAATACTTCTAGCACTCAAAATCGGTTATGCCCTCTCTAGTAACACTAGGTCACGATTTTGCTAGCCATAGGGTTTCTTTTATAGTGTTGTCACAATTAGGGTTTACACATGAATGCCCTTAATTGTCATGACTCTTGATTTCTCATGACCCATGGGTTTGTAACTCCCATGGACTATCCATGGAGCTCCATATGGTTATAACCAAACCCATAAACCATGGATCATTAATCCACCATAAAAGAATTGATGATTGTCATAATCAACCCTATATATTTAATTAGTCTCACTTTGATCACCAAATTAATACTAGATTAATACTTGATCAATACTAATTAAATAATACTATTATTAATATATTAGAACTTATAATATATTAATAATCATAAGTGCCTTATTCTCTCATTTAGTCTATCCAAGTATTGCAATGCCATGCAACCCAAATGGACCATGTCCGGGTCGGGTCAAGTACATACCAAATAAAGTTATGGACTTAGACACTATATCCAACAGTCTCCCACTTGGATAAGTCTAATAACTATATTTGCAAATATGACTTCAAAATCCGACTAGCAATCGTAGCTCTTTCAAAGTCTCTCGGAACTGAGATGATGATGATACGCCATTTAAGATAAGTGATCATATAATCCTCTGTTCTCATGATATCAGCCGGACAAACACATGGAACATGGTCTTACTTATTGTCCAGCATTTGTTTCTCGATCTCTGATTTGTTTCGACATAGAACTAAATTGAACACATCAATTAGGTTCTGACCGGGCCCGGTACATAGGTCAAAACCAAATCATCGAGGGGCCCAGATATCGCTTCTATTTCTAGAAGGAACAGATAAACTTCGACTGATATGCTTGTACTAACTACTTGTTGAATTATTCACAAAGGCACGTTTTATAACATCGAGTTACCAATGCGTTTTCGTACAATCAATGAATAACCAACTCATAGTCAACAACTCATATCTCTAGGTTTGAAGATTTATATGATATTACCGTCTCACGATCACTCGAGATAAATTCCATGAAGTGATGCAAGTGAGCGTGGGTTGGATCCAATACTCAGCCCTTATGAGTACTCATGAATGTTGTAGCAACCATTGCATTGTCCAAAGCACTTTTAGACAAATCATACAAGCCAAATTCATGACAGTCTTAAATCAATACTTACTTCCAAAGTTTGACTGACTGTGGATGGTTTGAATAATAACATAATTATTCTGGAAGTAAAAACATGCAAAATTGAAACATAGTAAACAATCAACACAAGATAGTAACACCTTACTCATAAATAAATAACAACTTTTATTTATCATCAAATGTCAATTACATTTTACAAGTTTCAGGAATCTAATTATTGAAACTAATATCATCCTTCAGCCCAATGCGCCTCGCATGCTGTAAATGCTTAACCCTGCTCAGTCCCTTCGTGAGGGGATCTGCCGGGTTCTCATCTGATGATACCCTCTTAGCCACGAGGAGTCCTTCTTCTATTCGATGTCTGATGAAATGGTATTTTCTGTCAATGTGCCTAGATCTCCCGTGATCTCTCGGTTCCTTAGCCAAAGCAACCGCACTTTCGCTGTCACAGAAAATTTCCATTGGCTCCTTTATAGCTGGTACAACTCCAAGGTCTCCGATGAAGTTCTTTAGCCATATCGCCTCTTTAGCTGCTTCACTTGCTGCTATGTACTCTGATTCACAAGTAGAATCAGCTACTGTCTCCTGCTTGGAACTTTTCCAAGTAATTGCCCCTCCATTTAGGATAAAGACCCAGCCTGACTGAGAGCGGAAATTATCCCTATCAGTCTGGAAGCTAGCATCGCTATATCCTTCCACTCTCAAGTCATCACTGCCTCCGAGGGTAAGGACCCAATCCTTAGTCCTCCGCAGATACTTGAGAATGTTCTTTACCGCTGTCCAGTGTGCCTGCCAGGGTTCCCTTGATATCTACTGACCATGCTCAAAGCAAAGGCCACATCAGGGCGAGTACAAGTCATAGCATACATGATCGAGCCCACAGCGGAAGCATATGGTATATGACTCATCTCAGCTATCTCAGCCTCTGTACTCGGACTCTGAGTCTTACTCAGCTTGGCATTACTCTGGACGGGTAATTCCCCTTTCTTGGATTCTTGCATGCTGAACCTCTTCAGCACCTTATCCAAGTAAGTACTTTGACTAAGTCCAATTAGTCTCTTACTCCTATCTCTCAATATCCTTATCCCTAGGATATAGGCAGCTTCCCCAAGGTCCTTCATAGCGAAACACTTCCCAAGCCAGGACTTAACCTCCTGCAAGGTTGGGACGTCGTTTCCTATGAGAAGTATGTCATCCACATACAACACCAAGAAGCTAACTATGCTCCCACTAGCCCTGACATACACACAAGACTCATCCTCACTCCTAGAAAAGCCAAACTCTTTGACTTTCTCATCAAAGCAAAGATTCCATCTGCGAGATGCTTGTTTCAATCCATAAATGGATTTATCAAGCTTACACACTCTATTAGGGTATCTTGTATCGACAAAACCCTCTGGTTGAGCCATGTAAACATCCTCAGCCAACTTTCCATTAAGGAAAGCGGTTTTGACATCCATTTGCCATATTTCATAATCATGAAATGCAGCTATGGCTAACAATACTCTAATAGACTTAATCTTAGCTACTGGTGAGAAGGTCTCATCATAGTCAACTCCCGGAGTTTGAGTAAAGCCCTTCGCAACCAGTCGCG